AACAATTATGAGAGCTAACAGAGAATAAATTTCAAACCATAATAGAAAATGCAATCTTTATGCTCAGCATGCACGGAACTGATACCACAAGCTATAGTAATTGGGGAAGAAAAAAAAACAGAAGACAGGAAGAATTTAGTGATGCACAACACGTTTGCACACCTTTAAAAACATTCATTTTCTATCATGCTTAAATGTTCAGCACAAAAACAGAATTAAGGCATTTCCCAGTACTTGGAGATCAAGATCCTATTTTCTCAAACATTACCTATYTTCCTCCTCTTTCTCACAGTCTTAAGTATGAGTTCTTGTATTGCAGGAGATGGAAAACAAGATCAGGGTAAATATTACTGTACTTGGAAACTTACGAGATGATCAGAGTGCTGAATTGCACAAAGGAAGTGAATATTGAAGGTTTTGTTTGCAGTCCCAGATACCTGTGATCTTTGTAATTCTAGAGTTGCAGAAAAACCCTACTCACCTACAAAATGAAGACGACAAAAACAGGATACTTTCCCAAAAAAGAAAGAAAAAGAAACTGCTACTGAAATCAAATTCAGCCTTTTCTTAGCCCAGCCATTTAGCCTTTCTTGCTAACATGATTTGTCTTAAAACAGTCTATATATTCTTTTGATTTTCAAAAACATGGCATTACTAAAAGAAAGGTCTTTAGCCGCCCACCAGTCTACTACTAGGCCACTGTGCCAAGTTGCCACAAGTTATCTTTGGGTGATTTTCAATTTATTTTCCTATATCTTTTTTTTTTTTTTTTTTTCCCCTTTCTTATAATCATATCATGTTTCTGTTCCCTACTGGTCCTACAGCAATCAAGCAAACTGCATCTGACCATGATGAGCAATTGAATTTGACACAACTGTCCTAATCCATTATATTGACATTAGGCTTTTAGGCAAAGACAGTTTTGTTAGAATAGTGTATGACCTGACCAGACCTCTCTGCTCTACAGAGATAAGCTAAACTTTGCTCATAGAGATGATGTGAACATATGTAGGTCTTTTTTTAATAACGTTTATATGGCGGGTAAGTATTCTGACTTCTGTAATTACAACTATTATCCTTTCACACATTAATTAGGAATTCACAGTTCAGAAACCTGCCACATCAAAAATAACCACCAATCATTATTCTTACTGTAACGCAGGAAATCAGTTTAACATTATACTAACCTGTGATGTAGGGTGGTATCTTTAAGGCTATATGGATAATTTTAGAGCACCATTCTGCTTGAAAAATTTCTTCCATGTCATCTTTTAATGGAAATCTATCTAAAAAATACATAGAAAAAGTGACCTTTTCCTTGTTAAGTTCTACAGTCAAAACTAGAGTGTTTAAGAAGAGCACAGAGAGCTCATCATCTCCTGCAGAGCTTTCCTACCCTGCCCTCCTATGCTCTCTGTGCTGGCTCAGTAGCAGGCTCGTGGCTCAGAGTGACACAAAAGGATACATGGGCTAGAGGGAGAATAGTGACGGGGGATCTTAGCCAAAGCTTCCCATAAATCAGTGTCCTTGGTGCGCAGGGAGTCTGCAGGACATTTAGTTACCYAAGGACTGTATTGCGTAGGCTCTCTAGCCAGTGAAGGTTTGTTTTTAGAGATGTCAGGCAGGCTTTTGTAAACAGACAATTCATTCAACACACTGAACTCTTAACATCTCCTTGCAGAATCTGTCACAATATTTTCTTCTTTAACAGAAATCTCACTGCCATACCTTCTGCATGCAATTCTTACGTGTTCATATAAACACTCTATATCTCACTTCAGATTCCACACTTTTTTCAACTGTTTCTTCTTCACTCATGCTCATCTTCTATCATCTAGAGTACAGGTCTGGCCAGGCTTATGGACAGTCAGCTTACCTTCATGCTAAATAAAGTTCCAAAGGCACATATATATATATATAATATATATATTTTCTCCTATGGTTCTTCCATTTGTGATCTATCTTCAAAGGAAGATTTAGAACAATTATTAGAGAAATTCATAAGAATAAAGGCTGCTAATTCCAGGAAAATCAAGATGATGACAAAAACAAGTAGCAGTTATGAGATGGACAACAGGCACTGCCCAAGCTACGTGTTCTCACTCAGGGCCCTGCTGTACAATTCTGCTCTCTGTGACTACAGCATATTGTGGGATACAGAAGTCATGGATTGCATTCCTATGCTTACCATAGACTGTACTGCACAGTCCTATACATGTAATATATCCTCACTGAACCCCATAAGCAAAACTGCRTATTACCTACACCTGAGCAGAACCATCAGCTTGGTAGAACCTTGGCTCTTCATCTGTTCATCTGAGAGGCAATTTTCAGCTGGGTGTCCCCTCTCATATATGCTGTTCTTCCTCATCAAACACTCTGCAAAATTAGAACTCCCTGGCTTCTGCTACAAATGTTTCTCACCGGGAAATTACCTTTTCTGAATGCGTTCAAAATACATCATTAGTAAATTTGCCAAAGCAAAACCTGTGTTAAGCTTAACAGCTTCGTTGCCCATTATATTGATATTTCTTTCCTTTTAAAGCAGAAACTGATTTTCCATAGCAAAAATTATACTGCTAATTATTTTTCTCTAAAATTCTCCTCTTTTCAAGCCACAAGAGGAAAAATTCAACAACCTAAAACTTACACATCCAAGAAGTTTTCTGCCTTGTACTGYGTCCTTTCTGTATCCCTATTCTGGGTAATCCCTTAATACGTTTTTCATATGGCTTGAATACAACATGAGATCTGTGGAGACAGCACCAGTAATGCTTTGGTTCATAMAGAACTTAAAATAGAAATATTAAATTACAAAAATATTTAGTTTTAAAATGTCAAATCATATAGCTTCAATTTATTCTAATGAATAAATATTCAGACAGATTGACAAACAGACCAGAAAGCAATGTATGAAAAAAGCATCTTGTTTATACTATCTTACTGTCTTGTATAGGATAGGTATTTAACAAATTCTAATTGATGTGAAATATGCCCTACACCCTCTATCAGGCTCCCTTAGCAAGTAAAAATATCGCCTCACAAAAGAAATGTAGCTCTTCCCTCATTTGTTTTGGGAAAATTATCATCATTAAGAATTAGAATGTGTCATTCATTCTTATGGCAAAGCAGTTTCATGGAGTTAAATCTCAGAGCACACCACAACATGCTTCATGGCATCCTAATTGCAATGTTTTCAGCATTCTGAGGTAGGCAGCTCTGAACACCAGCAAAAGAGCAGAAGATGAATACTGACAAAAAAGTACAAGCTGGAGAGCATGCTCTATTAACATTTCCTAGCTGTTAGATAGAAATGTCCTATGGCATATGTTGAGGAATAATAAATCTTTATATCTTTAGGCACTTTTCTCCCCCTTCCCTATTCCAAAGAGCACAAATTGACTTATCCTCTTGGTACATAAAAGGACTATTTTTCTTAGAGCAAAAAACCTGCTTGCATAGTTCACACCGCTTTTATACAAAAAAGGGAAAGTCTCATCCCAAATCAAACCCATAAGGTACAAAAAGAGAGTCCCTTTTTCTTCCATTCCTCTGACTTTAGCAGTATGAAGAGCATGAAATGCTAGGGCAATTTTGGTGAAGTTAAAAAGTTACCCAAATCTCCTTTTAAGCATATAAGAAATAAAGTTGCTATCAGTTTTAGAGTCATACACAGACATTTATTTGATTCACACATTTTAGGTAGTCTTTCTCTGTGATGGATGGATTCACACTCTACAGTTTCTATTATTCTGAGATGGCCCTTGGTGCYGAGCAGCCTACTGCACTTAGAGCATCTATTACCAGAACATGCCTAAAACAAAATACATCTATCAAGAAAAAAGTGACAGATCTACACCAAAGGATTCCCAGGGTGAGTGTACGAGAGGCATCAGTATTCTGACAATATCTGTTAGGTTCTTTGAAATATTTTTCCCTTCTTAAGTGCCTGTTTTTTTTGGTACAACAGGCCAGCTTTGTATTTTAAAAGTTACATGTACTTTCCTTCGTAACAATATGTCTTCTGATCTTTCATTACCCACAAGTGGCAGTTAATTTATATGATAGCTTTATAGCAATTCCAATTCTCTAACCATTTCTCACAACACAGATACAAGACAGCAGTATATGGAATGATCAACTATGGTTTTTTGCTGCACCGTTGCCAATTTTGGGTCTGCAAAGCCATTGRCTGGTAAAGCATTTGCCTCCTCAGCTAATCCTGTTCCTGTTGGGAATTTGTGTGGGAATTCAATGTTCTGGCTATTATGCAATCTGGCAGCTACGTTTACGAGTAAGCAAGACGCTGATATCAATGCGGAAAAAGAGAGGCCTCACTACCAAATATCAAGATTATTATGACTGATTTAGAAGAGGAATCAGCAGAGGTTTGAAAGCTTCACAGTAAATTAAGGAAATACTCAGGAATAAGCTAGAATTTCAATACTATTCTTAATGGCTTCTTTAATTTCACAGCAAATTACCTGCTTCTCTCCGCTTCTGATCATCTTGAGTTCTTGCTGATCTTTATGTCTGGAACAACTTTATTTTGCACCTATTTTGCCCACCAACCRACAACCCACAAATTAGTATCAGTCTTTGGCCCTCCCAATGCCAGAAGCTCCTCTTCTAGTTAACAAGCAGAGGAAACTACTTTCTGTTACAACATGGCTTCTAGCAGTGCTCCCTTCAAAAGTGTTGTTCAGACCTGCTGTCTTTGCAGGTGAGAGCTCAAATAATAGAGACATATAGTGAAGCATTACATAAATATTAAAGCGACATAACCCTTGTCTGAATAACACGCTCTCTTATTTGACTGGTGACTATGGCAGATAAATGAATGTCAAGGCTCACAGACTGCCTGGACCTGTTTGAATGATCCTCAAAAGCCAAAGGAACCAACTAAGCTTCAAACTGCTCTGAGGAATTTAACATGCTGACATTCAGACCCATGATTTCTATGTAGCAGGACAACATGAAGAGCATTAAGCCTGACTTACCGATAGAGCAGCTCACCACAGCATTGTGCCTTTGTGTGCACAAGTCATCTTCAGCGACATAAGTCGAACAGATGTGACAAGCCTAGTGAAGAATCAGTTACTGGATTAAGATCTGGATACGATTAAGATCTGACTATTAAAGAACATACAAGTTKATCCAATACTTGTGCAAGAAACTAAGACAAGTTTCCGTGTTTCCACATCACGGTCCTCGAAGTTGCAGTCAAGTCTTTCCCATCTTTTCGCCCATCTGTCTAACCGGCTATAAGCCTGGCCTGCCCTGGAAGGGAGTCAGTGTCATTATCCCATCGCTGTAATTGGCATGGCAGGATGGAGCAGCATGTGCAGCTCTCTCCTGGTGCGAGAGAAAGAGTGAAGAGGAACCAAAACAAGTCAGCCAGATGTCACAGAGACCCAAAGAAGGGAGCTGCAATCCAGAGCGTGAGTGAGCAAGCTGCCTGCCATACAGGGAAGCTCTGTTTCTTCCCATCCTCAAGTTTCTGTATTTTCTGGGGGAAGGTACGAAGAGATCCCTAATCAAAGGTGTTGCATTTCAGTAAMACTGAGCACTGAAACATTTTGCTTCTCATGAGCTTCCCTCCCACTCCCATTCTGTTGTTTCAATGTCAATACTGGAGCAYGAAAGAGGGCAAATAATTTAATCAAAAAAGAATAATCATTTTATTCTGACAGTTTCTTGACCTCTTTAGAAAACTTCCTTTTGGTGTGACCCTCTYTCTCTAGAAAGCCAAGTGCCACAAGCATGACAAAGTTAGCCATGCTTGGTCCTTGAAGCAAAGAATTAGTCCAAGAAGTGAGAAGGAGGAAAATTTTGTTTTGTGATATCCAGTACAGTAAGACCCTGATTTATGTAAGAACATTTGCAGTTCAGATTCTGTTTATCTAACAGGGCATGGACTGAATCATCAGTGTGTTGGAGCTAACTGGGTTTGTTCTTGCTTTATACATAGCCCATGCTCATGTACTTAAGGAGAAAAGAAAGAGGAAACAAAACAAAACAAAACAAAAAAAAAGATGAAGAAAGATTTGATTGAAGGGGCAGAAAAGCCACCATGGCCCATATTATTCAACCCCCAACATCACCTACTTTGTCCATAGTTGAATCAAATCTAATCCACCTCAGGGCTGTCATATGTCTTAGTAGATACCTGACTTCTAGGTCAATCYAGAAGCCCATCAAACCCATTATGAATCTTTTTATCCTCTTTCCTCCCACTATTTTAGGCTAACGATGCATCTSAGATTTTCTTTGCTGGCAGCCTTGCTTTTGTTGAAAGGTAGAACCTTTCAACAAAAAGGGAGAAGAGGGTTCTACACTCTCCTCCTCTCCTCTCACTCCCCAGTGCCTGCCTTCCCTCAAAAGGAAACCACGAAATTTTCTTGTCATTCCTTGTTAGTTATATAGGAAATAATTTATTAAATCTCATTCTTTTTCAGATTTCAGTTCTAGTATATAACAAGCAGAGATCATTTCAGATCTCCACAGAAGTATAATGCTCACAAACATRCAGGCTTGGCTTATTCCGATAATTTCAGAGCCCTCCATTCAGAACATACCATGTTACCTTAGATGTCTGTCCAGTATGAAAGGTGGAAGCAAACTAAATAGGTTCCAGATGGAATGGACTTTAGCTAAAGAGGGAAAGTCAGAAGCTTAACCATATGATAGACCTAGAGGCAACTCCAAAGCTGCCAGGAACTGCCTTTGGAGTCTGCCAAGGAGACAGATGCTTATGCCAACAGTGCATAGACTGGCATCATTTATATCACATCAGGCCTCATGCTGTCATGACGCCACAGTGCGAAGTACTAAGACAGCTACTATTTAAAAGAGAGCAATCACACTGCATATATTTAGATCATATATCCAGTAACAGTTTTCCTACTATATTTACCCTTAAGCTTCTCAGCATTTAAGACATAAATGAATACAGTAAGATAGGGCATGCTTTAACTCTTCAAGGAAATGTTACATGGGAAGCAAAGTACAAACTAAGCTTGAATTTTTATACCCACTGGAACTGCTTCTCAGATGCAGATTCCCCACCTGGAATGGGGAACGGCCAAGGAACAGTCTTCTTCCCACTCCCCATGCTAATTAAATTAATTTTGCAAAACCTGAACGTAAAGTACATTGAGAGCCAAAAGTTGCTAAGATCTGAACACACAGAATATATCCAAAACATAATTTGCTTTTAGCAGATTCATATATTGTTTCTAACTTCATGCTCTAGAGTACTTGGAACATCCTTCTGCCTGAAAATACATTAATAGTGACTTCAGAGGAGAGAGCCACAGCCCTGAACTACATGCACAGCAGGAAGGATTAACTTTGTTCTCTATAGCGATCTCAGCACTAAGTGTGTTAAAATCGACCTACTGCTGACCAAAAGCCTGAATAAGCATTCATAACTATTTAACAGCTGCTTGGGTAGCACGTGCATGTCCTGGTACCTATGCTATCCCAGTATTGCCATTTCATGAAGGAGCTTTTTCCTCAAGAAGCTGAGGGAACTTTGGAGAACCCTGCAGCAACGGGATAATTTTCCTAGTGCAGTACCTGGACTTCACAAGGAGAAGATTTGAATGTAGCCTTGCAGAGAGCAGACTACTCCAGAAGTCCTCAGCATCATGGAAAAACAAGATAATCCTGAAGAAAGGGAGGAAGGGAAAAAAAATAATAAAAAAAAAGGCACTGTCAGGCACAGCATAAGCAACAAGCACAAAACAGGTCGGTTTGTTTGGAGGCTTTCTGATGTTTTTCCATGGCTTTCTATTCTTTACCATCTGAGCCTCCTTGTGGAAATTCTTTATGCATCAAACAACCTCTTCTTGCTGAGCTCCAGTATTCCCCTCATATGCCCAAGACAGGTACAGGTTCACCTCTGCTGCTCAAGTCTTGCATCTCTCCCCCAGAAATGAAGGGATGAAAGCAACTTGCTGGCTTAGTTAAACCCATGGCCAAACATCCATCTCTCAAATCCTGCCCTCCTGAAGCCATTCTGATATAGGCTGAAATACGCATTTCACTCATATAAGCACGAGAGCAAGATCCTAGGGGAAACTGTGACCAGAAGACAGAGTCTAATGACCACTGCAATGGGAGTCCAGATAAAACCTTCGGTGGATTTTTTTTAGAAGTTGGAAGAGGCAAAGGAATAAATTGAAGAACTGATGGTGTCAAATAACCTTGAGCAAATAACGTATATTATGGAAGAGGACTTCTGCGATGAAAAGTTCTCCTTGCCTACAGGCTTGAATCCCAGTCARGAATTAGTATATTGTGTATTTTATGTTAAAAATATATATATATACACAGGTACAGCTCCCCCTTCCCCCCCTAGAATTTCCTTTATAACATGTGCCATTTTGAGTATAAAATATATTTAAAACATATACGTCCCCTGCAAACACTGTACAGGTTAAATCTGCTTTTAAAATTACAAATAATAGAGCATTTACAGTACAGGCATTTGAAAAGAATGCTGCATTATACTCACTTAAACCAATTGACTTACAGTTTTGTTAGTGACAAGAGTTTCTTTTTTTTTTTTTTTTTAAACACAGAGTACAATCATACAATCCTTAAAAAAAACACATTATTATTTAAAATATTAAATACTAAGGCCATAGTTCTCTTTACTAAACATAACATCTGTTTCCTGTAGAATAGCAAACTAAAAAGCTTATTTGAGTTTCAGGAATTACATCTGTGCGATCTCAAACACATCAGTTGAGGGAGCTTTTTGTTTCTCCACTCCTGGAGAGCACTTTTTTCATATTTAAAAGTACAGGTAAGAGTACAGGTAAGCCTAGGTTCATTAATTACTACCTGAGCAGCCTTCCTATTCTAAGGCCAGCAGTTCCAACACAAACCTCCCCTTTGCAAGAGCTTAGATGCACATTACCAGTAGCAAGAGCTGCCGCCGCCGCCGCCGCCTCCTCCTCCTCCTCCTCCTCCTCTGCAGCAGCGCACCCAGCAAGAGTCACACTCCAAGTAGCAACTCGGACAAGGCTTCCTTAGCCCCAGGAGCAGAGACCTCCATGTCCTTACACAACTGCTGGCACAACCAGCACATACTCTAGTGAAAAAGAAAGTTCTGGAGAGCCCTTTGCTACTCCCCCAAGTAAGCACCTGAAGCAGCTTAAATCCATTAGCAAACCAAGCATCTGAAGCAGCTTAAAATCCATTAGCGAACCATAGCTCCAACAGGTGTCTTCCTGGTAAGTCCCTTCATTTCACATGCAAACAAGCTCCAGCTGGGAGCTCTAGGGAGTCAGAGCAAAGGCCTGTCCAGCTGATGGTCYTTTAGTGGAAAGAGCCATGAAGCAAGGTCTTGTAAGGGACACGCCACCAAGCCCAACATGSCTGATCTCCCCCTTCACGCACTCTCATTTGCAGTGGAGCAGCTGCCTGAGCTGCATGTGATTTCTTTAATAACCCCTACGTGATTTCTCTGCAGTGAATTTGGTTGCTCTTGTCGCTATGACCTTACCCAGAGAACAACAGTTTTCACAACTACTAAGATTACTGAATATCTGAAACATGTGGATGTGCCTAAATCATCATTATTCAAATATACTCAATAACACACAAGTGACTGGAGTTTATAACGTAGTTCCTGCTGGCTGGGTAACTGCTAATGTTACMTTCATTTACATATTCAGGGCTCTTTGAATTGCAACTAAAGAAGTGGAGCCTCATGTGTGTTCAGGACTCTGAAAGTCTGTTCTTGCATATATAAATCAAAATAACTAGATTTGCTGGCTCTGATTATGGGCAATTGCAAAGCAAGGCCTCTAAGTTACAGACTTTAGCCTCCGATTGCTACTGGCCAAGAGGAGATTCAAACAGTGTGACATGCAACATAAATAAATACATAAATAAACAAATAAATACAATTTGTGAGAGTAAAACCTTTAGAGGACATAACAGTGCAAAAAAATGTACTTGAAAATGTTTACTACATCTACAAATATCTTGCAGCTTGCCATTGCTGATGTGGAAGGTTAGTTGAATTGCTGAGTGCGCTTTTACTGAGGAGAGTATATTCTACACAAGTGACTACAACGTTGTAGCGGCTACACTATTTGCATAACAAGATCATTTTTTAGGATTTCCTCGGAGAAAGAAAAAGAAAGAAACTAAAGCTGTCTCATCAAAATATGAAACTCCCAGTAGGAGAAGAAAGCTTCAGCCTTCCAGATATAAAACATATTACATAGCATTCACACTTGAGYAACTGATAGAATGGTTTAAAGGACAGCCATGCAGTCAGCAGAACAGATAACCTTGTGGGAAAAATATATATGAATTTTTTATCTCTCCAGGTATTATTCATTTGCTGAAACTGGAGAAGCAAAGATCCAGAGCTGCAGACCATTTTGATTACAAAGGAAATGTGATTAGCTCTATGCAGAAAATTTAAATCTAGTCTGTACTTTCTTATGAAGCTTCAAGAGGAAAATCTTTTTTAATAATATAAAATACCAAGATATCCTATTTCAATCAAGGTGTTACTGCAGTCATTCAGAAWTTGTGACAGAGCTTTCTTATTAAAAGTACATGGTCTTTCAATAGATATTGGCAATTCTTCAGGGCCCAATCCTAAGTCAAAAGCTTTTCTGTTCCTCAATAGGTTTGGTATTAGGCCTTTAGTAAACTGAAATGAAACAAAATCCCAGAACACTTAAGCATGTTGCCATTTATCAAACAGCCAACTATAACTGCAGAAGCTTTCAGAGTCACAGGCTTTCTACCATCTCCAGTGAAGCATAAAGCAGGGCCAAATTATAACTCTGACTGTAAAATAGGGGGGAGAAATATGCCATAACACCAGGCGTAATTTGAGCAATAAGAATATTATCTATGATCACACAGGAAAACTAAATAAATTCTCTATAACAATCTCTACAGAGGCTAAATACTTTCTGGTGCCAGATTCTGGAAGTTGTAAAAATAAATTATGTGTTTTTTTCTGCCTTGACATGAATCTTTTAATGAAATTTAGAGAAAAGTCACCATAGAGAAAACAAATAGGAAAAAAAATCTGAAACTCAGATTTTTTTTTATTCCTCATTTTCAAATTTTATTCCTCAATTTCAGAGTTTCAAGAATCATTTTACTTGCTGCTCATATATCTTAAAATTACACTSATTTTCTATTCCTATCTACTGAGGGGTAAGATACCAATCAGCTGGGCTGGACAGTAAGGAATAAGAGAGGAATTCGTGATCAGCAAAGGATCAGCAAAGCTCTCTCCTGTTACTTTTTGTCCTTTGTCAGAAATGACACTAACTGTTCTCAGAAAAAAAGAATAAATGTATATTCAGAAGCATGCACATTAAACTAAATGTATGGAAATTTAGAGACCACTATTTGCACATATCAAAAAAAAAATCATTTGTACAATTGAGGTAATGGGACGGTATCACCTCGTGCAGTCTTTTCATTTTATGGATGTCCATCCAAGACGCGATACGATTGTTTTATTCTCCTTCCCTACGTGTGGACACTCGCTGTTCACCACATTTGAAAGCTATTAGATATCACATTTCATATAGCACCAGGCTGAACAATAAAAGGGATATTATTAACACTAAAGCCAACCATCACATCAAAAGTTACGCAACTAGTCTGCATACTAGTCAAACCACTGAAGTTACAAAGTAACTGTGAAGAAGTATTAAATACAGCTGTAAATACATGTCTCAACACAAAAGGGTTTGTTTCCTTTCCTTGTGCATGTTTTTTTAATCCTTTTGAAATCACAACGTTTACTTAAAAGCATATTAGACTCCTACAACAGCAAGAAACCTTTCCAGCTAAAACCGCTTGAAAAAGTTGACACAAACTTATAGTTTTGATCTGCTCATATTTTATTTTTTATATTAATAAAATATTTAATAAGAGAATGTCACCAATTCTATACACTATACACCCTGGAGAAAATGTTGGAAGCGGCTAGCACTGCATTTCTCTTGTAGAACATTTGGAAGATTAATTAGGCCTGAAACTTTGGATGAAATCCTACCAGATAATTTTTTTCTCCCCACATACTATGATTTCTATATTATGATCAAAGTCCTTCACCATTCTTTAAAGCTAAAGCCTGGGAAAAGTTATTCACTACATCTGAGTTTATGAATCCAAAATAATGATGTCTTTTCTTGTTTTAAAGCCTACTTGATCACTAAGGATTGAAAAGAAACATCAGTGGGCCTTTACTATAAACTTTTGAGAGAAGACACAGAAACTGATAGATCAGATGCTTGATAAATGGCAGATTGCCACAGAGTCATCCATATGGCTCTCCAGATAAAGTCTGAATAAGATGAAAGTTTTTTTTGACTGAAAAGCCTAGTTTCAGATGCTTCCCTCACACCCTGAAATTTGTATTAATAAGGCCTAATTTAGAAGTTTTCTGTGCAAAACACATTCTCACTTGGCTAGAAGACGGGTCAATTATTATCGTAACATTCATCTGCTTCTTTGGTTTGCCAGGCTCTTCGCACTGCAAGAAATGAGCCTGTGATGCTGTGAGCATCAGCTCTTCCTAAGGAAAGTCACAGGCTGGAATCCCGAAAGGTTGACCTCTGCTAGAGAAACACGGTCTCTAGAATTTATGTACTAGATCCATTAG